AGAAGTGCGGCATGCAGTGAAACAGAAAAAGTAAGGAAGGACTTCTGGCTGACACAGCGTTACAGTGGATCTTTTGGAATTAGAAGGAAAATCGCTGCAACCGATGACCTTATATTCTTGTTGTTTGAAGGAACTGAAAATATCGGACGATTGGACCACAGCGTGTATGACTCTACTCTACAGAAGGGAGACAGGATTTGAAAAACTACGGGTCGATGAGCTTGTTACCAATCATCGACAAGATTTTCACAGGGGTACCGACGAATACACGTTGAGAATGGCTCTGCACAATTAAAGGAGAATGCTGGATTCAGATGTAATTTGTTTTGCAATAGAAAATCTTCAGGTGATGTAACTAGTAATTCAAATAAGCAACTGAGTTTTAGTTTTCTTTCTTTAGGGTTCGTCGATTTTGCGAAGACACATGACTCAATTTCTATCCGTTCTGAAATGAATTTATTAAAAATCCGGGATATCAAGAAAAGATGCAGAGTACATCGTCATGATTCACAAGAGTTCACCTGCTGGTGTGAAGCTTTCTTAAAGGATGACCAAATTCAAAAATAGAAAGGGTGTCCAATGGGCAGACGCAGTATCATCAAAGTTATGCGGAGAAGGTTTAGAAAACGTTTTTGAAGACACTCTGTTCAATAGAACTGGGATTGAACATAAATGACCTCTTTCGGTTTGAGGGCGATATTCTAACCTGTCAAAATTACCAGAAGAACCCCATCAACGATTTCAAGAGCCGAGTGACGCATGATCAAAGATTCTGGTCATATTTAACAAATACGTGATTTCGCGACTTGGTGAAGTCAGTAAACTTAAGCTTGAAGAAGTGCAGAAGTACGTCTGTCTGGGACAGCTCGTCTCTGCAACGCTTAGCGCACTCTGCGAAATTATCAAAAGAATAGAAATGGCGTGGAGTACTCTTAGAGGATTCAAGTCGTTCATGCGGGAAACTGTCCTTGTGCTTGGAGCGGAATGTAATTTATCAGTGCATGCCTTGATTGCTCACCTCTATGTGCGAAACGTGAAGCATAACGTGATAGCTATTCATAAACTTCCATCTGCTAAACGCTGCATGGAAAGATGTATTTCGGGAATAGCAGGAATAGATAAGACCACAAACAAGAGTCTGTGATGTCATTGCCTGAGTGATGAAAATGAAAACGGCAGCGCGAAAAACAGGCTACAAAAGGAAAATTACTCTCGCCGGACCAGAAGGATATCGGACTGGGTTCCATAAGCGAGAAAATGACCTGGAAAGACCGCAGATCGATAGCTGGATGAGCTAAAAAAGTTCACTGGATTAAAATTGGTTCAGAAAACAGATGTTTATGGCATTAAGCTGGAGAGGCTTTCTTCCATTGGTGGATCGATAAATCTGATGATGATTATTAATCCAATCCAGAACAGTGGATTTTAGCATCTCTCTAAATTTTGGTACTTATGATTTGATATTATTTGATCTCGGCGGGTAGCTTCCTAATCAGAGTCCAGCTTTATAAGGATTTTGAGGTGAGACCTATCAGACAGACTGTTAAAAAGCGCAGTTGTTCTGCCGTAGCGTGGTATTTCGAGAGCAAACTAGCTAAAGGTATTTAAACTGGTTGTGACCCGATTCACCTCTGGGGTCACGAAGTAAAAACCTGTACATATGCATATAACCCCCACTATGCTTCGACGCGAAAATCGGCTAGTGGTCGAGCTGTTAGGGCTGACTCATAAGTTTTGTAACTATGAAAGTTATAATTCAGATACAATCTCTTGTCACTTAGATTGATATGACATAGTCGTAGCATTGCACTGCTGTCCAATGACGCTCTTTTGCGCGCATTCATTGCACATGCCCAAATTACCATGGATTTATGGACTGCTTAAGCGGTCTCCTGTGCTACTAACAGCAAGAGGACTTTGCAGCTATATAATGTAAATCCAGAGGATTGACAAAAGGTTGTTTTTCCTACCAGCGTTATTGAAATCTAGCAGTTTGCTTTTAGTAACCATACAGTACCGTTATTAGTTTTTGTGTAATTTAATTTAATTAAGAAGTATGATTTTGTAATGATGTTTCAGGTATAGTTCTACTCAGTTAGATAATGGATTTAGAATGCGGATAAGTGGCGTATGGGCTATGGTGATTGGTTTGCAGTACGCCGCGAAATATGGTGTTAAAGGAATTATCCTAGTAGTGGTGATTGTATATTTTGAGGCAAGTATGTAAATCAGAACTGCGATTAGTTATGAAGCGAGAGAATAGCGATCAGAGCTCTCCGTACATAGCTAAATTTTTAATTAGTCATTTTGAGATTGGTTTGTTTAGGATCCAAAATTTTGTTTCATTACTTTTTCTGCATTTTCGGAAATATAAGCGTTGCATCGATTTTCATTATATCGTTGGTCAAAATGTATTTTTGCATATGGTTTGAAATTTATTAATATATATATTTCTAGGCAAACATCAAATCTTCTGACACCGTTTTCGAAGTTGGTCCAGGTACTGGAAATTTAACTGTTAGGCTTTTGGAAAAAGCAAAGAAGGTATTGTCCAGAACTTTGCTAAACAGGGTTAAAAATATTTCCCATGATCACTACGTTGTTGCTACAGGATTATTATGGCTACTGTTAAATGCTCAGTGCGTCACTAAATGTTTATGCGTTTCTTCCACCTTATTTCTATCGACTTTTTTCATCTCCTTTGGCAATGTGCAATAAAATGAATTCGTCGTTTTCCAAAATTGCACATTCCTTATACTCGTAGACGGACTTGCATTTTCGACATGATATTTTTGGTAGCAATTTAAATTTAACGTTTTGGTTTATTGGTTTTTGGTCCATAATGTTGAAATATTTTGGTATATTTTTCGTCACGGTGTTTTGCCATGTCCAGCCTCATGAAGATGATAGGACAACGTATTTATGATAGTCCTTAACTCTGTTAGGCAAATTGTTGACGTTGATTCAAGCCTCTTCTTGACAATGCATCGTTTTGTGTTGCATGTTAATTCTCAGTATCTGGGCTTTAACAGAATTGCTTTTAGGTCGTTGCCTGTGAAATTGATTATCGGCTTGTTGGAGAGTTGCAGAAACGGGTCCAGTCATTGTACTTCTTATTTTTTACTTTTGCCATTTCTAATCTGATATTTGTGAACTAATTGAAGATGCCTGCAGAGCAAATTAGATATAATTACTGGCGATGTGCTGAAGGTTGAATGGCCTTTCTTTGATGTGTGCGTCGCAAATTTACCTTTTCAAGTGAGTCGATTTGTTTTACTTAATCATTTTTTGCAAAGAGATTTATATTTGTTATTTATAATCTGGAGAATACTTATTTGAATTTATCTATTAAGAGATCGGATCAGCTGGTAAAGGATCAATAAATGTCTCTCTAGCCACAGTTCAAATTCAGTGCCATTCAGAAGTTCGTGGTGACTAAACAGCCGAAACAACACTTGCTCGCTCGCATAGTTGATCGTCTGTACTGTAGTTCAGTGACTCCTGCTTCGGCTCTCCACGGGCGGTTGGTTCACCTTTATTTCCACAACTCATGATAGTTGCATAAATAGTTTATTTTGCAGTTTTTATCATACACTGTTACACAAGCACATTCAATATAATGCAGCACGTGAGAATAATAGAATTAAAATTGTTTGCAACGCCTCTTAAATAATCGAGAATTTGCATATTGGCGTTAGCGTTCTCAGGTTCTTCAAAGTACCTGTTAGAAGAGGAACTCACTTTCCTGACAATGCGCTGAATTGAATCAGCGTATTTCTTCTTTCGTGGCAGTTGCGGCGCGCCTGCAAGGAACTGCTTGATCGTAGTTTCGTTCACGCTTCGTTCCTTTCGCAGATCCACAATGAATTTCCATATGGATGGATGGTGCGAGTCAGTAACTTGCGAAAATTCTCGATGCCATCCCTCTAAGGCATTATTCGCTTTTGGCAAGACCTCATGGGTGGTGTCACAGCAGTTGCAAACGATTAGACGAGGCGTGGTTGCCTTCGTGACTGACATCTGTCTGAATCTGCGTATCTTCAAAGTAGTTTTTAAGCACTTGTGCTTCGATTGGGTAATCGTTCATTTCTGAAACGACCTCAGATGTTTGCTGTACGTGCTGCACGACTACAGAGGATAGTGCAGTGGGCATTCAGATTTTTAGGGCGAAGGTAGCATCTGTTGAATATCTTTACTAGAGACCGTTCGTCAAAATGCTTCGGTGGCTACATTGGCGGAAGTAAAAGAAGCACTAGCGATGCAGGACATGTTGAAAGCTTCTTTGAAAAGGATTGATGGGTGCATGCGCGAAATCAGTCAGTATCGATTAAGGTGCTCAACTTGGTTCAAGATGTTTCAAGGCATCCAACATTCATAAATAACTGACCTCCGTTTTGCCCGGCTGCAAGGCA